TCCGTCCCGGCCGCATCGACCGCAAGATCGAGTTCCCTCCCCCGGGCCCCGAGGCACGTGTCTCGATCCTGCGCATCCACAGCCGAAAGATGTCGTTGCAGCGCGGCATCAACCTCCGCGCGCTCGCCGAAAAGATGGGCCAGTGCTCCGGTGCCGAGGTGCGCGGCATCTGCACCGAAGCCGGCATGTACGCCTTGAGGGAGCGCCGCCAGCACGTCTCGCACGAAGACTTTGAGCTCGCCATCGCCAAGGTCCTCCGTGCACAAGCATCGTCCGAAACTTCGGTCAACAAGCTCTTCACATGATCGCACCCTTTCCCGCAACCCGCATGTACCACCATTCCGTCTTTTGCAATCGCAACTCTCTCCAGCGTGGCTCCCTCTCACGTGTGCGGAACGGGCAAGCTGAGATGCTCTGGCAAATACTATGATTAAGGCGATTCATCTGTCTATGGCACCGAGGCGAGCGGCCCAGAGAGAAGTTCGGTCCACCACGGAATCTCGTCTTGCACGACGTTGCGCCCATGGTCGTCGACGATGCCGTCGACAAAGGTTTTGACGCCTTGGCCGTACATGAATTGCGCCAGCTGGGTCGAGCTGGCAGAGGCAGTCAGGTCGGTCTGGATCGGCCGTTGGCGGAGCTGAATCAGGTGCTGGATGAGTTGGGCAAGCTCGTTCTGCATCTCGGTAGCCGCACCACCGTCGGACATGCCCGCAGCGTTGGCCCTGGCACGGAATAGCAGCGCTCGGAGCAGATGCATGCTCACCTCGGCTTCCAGCGAAAGACTCTCCCAGCCTCCCGGTGGTGGCTGCACTGCTGCAGTCGGGGCACGAGATGCAGCGGGACGCAGGATCCAGCCGAGACCAATCTCGGTCGCCGCTTTCCTCGCATAGAGTCGCGCATTGTCGATCAACTTGGAGCGTGTTCCCATCGCGCCCGGGATGCCAGCCGCCTCGAAGGCTGGATGCGAGCGGAATAGGGAAAAACTTGAGAGCGCCAGAAGGATTCGGCATCTTGCACGCGACGTAGGCGTCGATGTGTTGGCCTGACCAAGCACGGCTGCCGAGCCTCCACCGCGCGAAGCGGTATCGAGCGCCGAGAGCGCCTGCGAGTAGAGCTTGGTGCTTAGGGTCGCCAATGTCCAGATGGCTGCCACGGCATTCGGCGCAGGCTCGAGGCGAAGAGAAAGGCGGCACAGATTCTGCCCTGCCTCACCCACATCGCACAGGGTCGGCACGTCGAGATCTTGACGCACTTGGCTTCCCTGATCTGCAGCAGGAGGAGCCACGAGTCGAGTTGCCCAGTCGTGAACAGCTTGCATAGCAGACTCTAGCTCGTCGCTGAGCTGCACAGCCTCGGTGCCGAGCTCGATAGCCTTCGCGATGCGTGCCACTCGCAACGCCAACAAGGTGCGCTCCAGCTCTCCCGACTTGGCTCGCATCTCTTCGGATGAAGATGCCAGCAGCGCTCCATCAGCCGAGGATTTGTCGGAGGTCATCGAGTCCGAGATGGTCTCGTGCACCCTCGCAGCGACCTGCTCAGCTGCAGCGTTGCGAGTCTGAAGCTCCTGCAGCGAAGGTGCGACTTCAACTAAAGAGATGAGGCAAGCCATGAGAGAGAGCAGCGTTTCGACCAAAGCGGGCGGCGTGACCAGCGAGGACGTGTAACCGTATACGTCGTCTTGATCTTCTTCGGAAGCTTCAACTTGATCTTGCTGCGGAAGTTGCTGCTCGGGCTCAAGCATGCCAGACTCGCCAGGCTCGACAGATGCGTCATCGGCAAGCTTTTGATCCTTCAGGATGGCAGCTTGCCCATGAGCCACACGCTGGAATAGCGCCGAAGCCTCCTGCCAAAGCAGTGCCGGAGTGGTGGCACGAGAAGGCTGACGATGAAGAAGCGAAGGGGGTCGAAGTTCAGGCGGCCAACCGAGTTCCTGGACCGCTTCACCCAAAGTCTGCAAGCAAGTGGCCAGGTGAGTAAGGGCGTCCAGGGTGAAGGGGTTGGGCAGCGGAGCATCTGCTGTGTCTGCATCGACCAAGGGAGGCGCAAGTTGAGCTGCTTGTTCGGCCATGTTGACGGCCTCGACGAGGAGGCTGAGATTGTTGGGCGGAAGCGAGAACTGCGTAGCCAGCAGAAACTGGATGCGCGAGGCATTGTAAAGAGCATCTGCACGTCTAGTCGGGTCCGTGGCCGCCAGACGAGCCGCCCGAGCGTAGAGCGTGCCAGCTTGATCATAGAAGCGCTGAGCCTTGGAGCCGAACTGGAAGCGTTCACCTTTCTCCTCGAGCTCCACGCCATCCTGCATGGCTTCGTCAAAGTCATGATAGCTTGACGGGTCCACCGGTCCGAACGCATTGGCCCTGCGCTGCTGCGGCGCAGTGGCCGACGTTGATGACGATGCGAGGCTCGTCACCTTGGGCATGCGCTTTGCACCCATGCTTGCCTTTGTTGGAACTGTTGTCCTGGGAAGGGAAGAAGGAAGGATGGGTGTGACGGCGCAAACCGGCTATTTTTTTCTAGCCGTGGGTGGAGGGCGGATGGCCGATTCCGCGTTCCGTGTTCCGCCTCCCAGGCGCCGGACCTCACAGCTGCGAAGCGCTCAACCCAGGATGGGCTTTGACGGCACATCGGCGCTGCGCCAGCTTCCGTGAGACAAGACGGGACTCGTCGCGCAGCTACGTGCTCCTCAATACAATGTGAGCGCGCGTCCGTGGCGCGCCACGGACGCTCTCTCCCAAGTCACAACGATGCGCAGCAATGTGCAAGTCAGTCCGGGTTCAGGAGGATGGTATATTGATGAAATTGCAACAGATCGGCGGACGTCGCCAATCCGCGGGGTCGAGGTCCGAGGGACCGTGGGTTGATAATCCGCTCAATCGCCGAGGACCCATTTTGGGAACCATGGATGTTCGAAGACCCATTCGCTCTTGGTTCCCGAAATCGAGCCTGAGACGGGTGGTTCTCGGGATTCTCGAGGCTTCGAGACGGTCTGAAGAGTGGCCTGATTGTGGCGCGCCGTGGCCAAGAGCGACGAAACGAAGTGGGTCTGTCCTTGAGCCGCGTGATCCTGCTTCGCAGAGTCAGCCAACGTGCCGTTGACTTGTTGCATATTTGTGATGGCGGCTTCGAGGCTCTCTTGTGCCCTCGTTGTAAGCATTTCGAGGCCCGCTTCAGCCGATGCCGAGCGGAAGGAAAGGTAATCGGTCCAGAGCTTGTCCTCGGCCTGCAACTCGGACTGCACTCCGACGTGTCCACCGAGACCGGGACCGTTGGAGCGCATCCACTTGATGCGACTCGCGAACACGGATTTAGCCAGTTCCAGCTGCGCGACATCGTCCTCTGGGCTGAGTGGCCAGCAGCCCGTTCGTTTGGTGTCGCCGCGTCGACTTGCATCTCTTTGGAAGGTTTGGTCAAGCAGGACCGCGCTCACCGCCATGTGCTCGAGAGCGTGGGCAAGGTGCACCTGGAGCGTCAGATAGGATATGGTAGCCGAGTACTGACGCGGTCTACGGTCGAGTGAGTCCGAGGCAAAGCACCTTGACAGCTCGTCACGAAGATCTGTGCAGACGATGCCCTGCTCCATCTGTATGCGGCTGGCAAGCCACCACATGCTTTGACGGTCCACGCCACGTCCGTAGAGCTCGAGTTCGAAGCCTGCAAAGGTGATTTGCGACATGATCTCGAGCGCCAGGTGTTGCGTGGCTGCGAAGAGGGAGTCGGGGATGTAGCGCTCGCCCGGGGCAAGGCAAGCCTCGAGCTGTCGGCCGATGTCGCTGGCTTCGCTCGAGATGTTGACCCACTCTCGGTAGAGTCTTGAAGCCATTGTGCGTTTGCACCGCGCGCGATTCTGCGAGAGAGTCGAGAGATACTGGACCAGTTGGCCAGAGACGCGCTGGATGAAGTAGTGGATGCGCTGTCCGATGGGCGGCGGCGCATTCCAGAGGGCGTGAGAGCCGCCTTCGACGTTGGTGCGGCCGATGCGGGATGCACGTCGGAGCAAGAGCGGGTCTACGAGCGCCACTTCGTGGAAGAAGGCCTCGGTGATCCAGTCGAGAGGCAATCGGCAAGCGATCATGCTTCGATCGCATACGGCCGTTTGAAAGAGCGATCGCACGTATGGCGTGGCGGACATTGGCTGATCTGCCTGATAGCTGATTGCGCGATGTGTGAAGAAGGTCTTCCATGAAGCGAATCCGGGCTGCTGGAGCACCTGGACGACTTGCTGAAGCTCTTGAAGGATGTTGTCCAGGATGCGACATGTGTCGCTTGGACGGGAGAGCGAGATTGGACGCAGCGGCTGGCACCAGGCGAGACGACGGTTGTAGGCGGGATCGAAAGCAGCGATTGCGGCCGAGGAAGGGGCGCAAGACCGATCGGGGAGACCGAGGGGCTGGATCGAGTTTGGTTGTTCATCGAGGTGAGGAGGGTTTGGGGCGTGGGACGAGGAGGAGGGCTGCAAGAGAGCCAAATTGCGCCGTGCAAACTTGGCATGCATGACCACGTCCAAGGGGGCCGCTTCAGCTGGAGCCTGCAGCAGACGCACAGCATACAGCATCTGCTTGCGAAAGTTGAGCCTGGCGGTGAGCGAGTCTGCAAGGTGCTTTTGCAAGACGTGGGATTGGGATTGGGACTGGAGCCAGTCGATGGCGTCTTGAAGCTCGGCGATGATGTAGCCGGTGTCTGTGGTTTCGAGCAAGCTCAGACCGTTCTTGTCCGAGGAGTAGTCTTCGCCGTCTTGAAGGTGCTGTCTGGACGTGAGCTCGGACCAAGCAATGTCGATCGTCTTGACGGTGGCGAGGATGAATGCGCGCAGCACCTTGTAGATCAATTCCAAGGGTTCTTGCGGCTGGTGTGCGGCGAGGTCAGGGTGCGGCCGCTGCAGGCGAGGATGTTTGGGCGATAGAAGTTTGAGATCGTGAAAGTAGAGGCAGGTATACAAGGTCTGGGAGAGCGCGGAGCCTTGATGCCAGGCCGCTTCGCATGCGAGGAGACGATCCATGATCCAGAGCACGTCGGCGGGTGTGAGCGGTCGAAAGGGATCAAAGTCGAGCTGGGGTTGGGAGAGGATGGAAGCGTCGAGACGATCCGACTCTGGAAGCTGCGACTGCGGAAGTTGCATGCCCGAGTCCATGCGTGCGTCGAGGATTTTGACGGCGGCCATTGAATCGAGGAGGGTGAAGTGGGGCACGGCGACCATCTGGCCGAGCCTCAGCTGCTTGCAAGCTGAGAAGAGACGCTGCGTCTCATCTTGGAAGTGGGGCCGTGGCGGGAGCGCTACGGCCCCATCATCCGCGACCGAGCTCGCATCGCGCAAAGGCGGAGACGATAGCGAGTTCCGGTTTGTGGTCATATCAAGCGCATGGTGCAAGTGTTGAATAAGGTGGTAAGGAGGGAGGGAGGGAGGGAGGGAGGGAGGGTCGAGACTTGCGGCAAGAAGAAAAAGCTTCGCATCGAGAGCTCTAATCCCGCACTCGCTCACACTCGGCCTCGCACGCACTTCCACTCTTCCGCAAGAGTGGAGGAGCGAGGTGCGAAATTGCGCCAATTGTGAGGCCGCAACGCGATGGACATGACTCTAGAAATTTACCGGTGTTAGACCCGCTCTCGAGAGCCCCCCGGTCCGAGTCGAGGTTGGCAGGAGCGACCGGCGTCTGGAAGGGAGAAAGCCGATGCAGAAGGCGGGGCAGAGAAGCGGTTGACCGTTGAGCGCTAAGCGAGATGACTTACCGAAGTCTGACGGCGACGATTGCGGGGTGAGAGCACGCGGTTGGTCGTACCAAATCCTCGTCAGAACCTTCTTGTCATGTTGAGCGGCTCGTAAACTGCATGCGCACGGCCCTGCGAAGACGAGATTGCCGCGGCAATCCCCGCACATGCACCGTATCGCAGCGAAAGGTGCGACAACCTTGACGTGCCAAGCGTGCAGTCGACCCATTTCGCAGGAATAGCTGTGTCCTGCGGGCAGGGCCTCGAGGCGCGCAAAGCGACTTCGGCATTCAACTTTGCGAAGAGGTCAACAACAGCAAGTCACCATTGCGCGGTTGGCCGCTGTTCGTGGGGAAGGGGGTCATTGCGCGTCACTTAGCCGAGCCTCAGTGGGGCTTCACCGGCGAACTCGCAAAGCGGTCATCGTTCGCCCCTCCAAGTCCTCAGCAGCCTGGCGGACTTGAGACATAAACACGCACACGATCATTGAAGCGCGCCCGAGACAATCCTAACTTGCAAGTGCAAGCCTCTCTACGGTATCGGCTTCTGGGAGCATTGAAGACGGCCGCGAGGGTAGCAAACCCCGAGTCGCCGGTGGACGCGACTTTGCTCGGCAATTTGCCTCACGTCAGTTCGTGTGTGAAATAAAAAAATAAATCCGCACCTATTCCGCCCCCGCAACTTGTTGGACAGATCTCCGAGGCATCCTTCTTGCGCCCCGCTCACTTTGCATTGCCGCCTTGGGCGCCGGTCGTGCGCGGATCGAACGTGAGACCCTGTGAATGATCTGCGTTCGCCTTCCCCGCCGAGCGAGAGGACAAGATGCGGAGACCGAGTTCCCGCTCCTGCCCTGTTCCATTGTTCTGGCGCCCTGTCGAAAAACTATGAAGAGGTCGCTGAGCCCCATGTACGACACTGACTTGGCTTCGCTGCCAGTGAGCCCCGCGCGGGGGAGGAGCTCCACAAGCACACGCAGCGGTGCGTCCATATAAAGCCGCTCAGTGAGAAGAAGGAAAGGCCATTACACAGGCCGATTTCCACCAGCTCCTCCTACTCTACCCTGCCCCGCTAGACCACGATGAAGTCTCTGAGCCTCTCATGGGTCGCTTTGGCCTTGACCTTGGGCGCTTGCTCAGTCGCGTCCGTCAACGCTGCCCCGTCCACGTCTGCTCTCTCCAGTGCTGCCGTTTCCCCTCCTGCAGTCACTTACAACGTCGCAGCCAAGCCCTCGAGGCGGTCCAAGTTCGCTCTCGCTGCCTTCATCGAAACCAACATAAATAGGTAAGACGCAATATTAATTGATTCTCTAAGGAAACAGCCGTGCTTGACCATTCACATTCTTT